ACAAAATCTTCACTTACCGACCATCCATTTTCGATCGATTGATTTTTTTTCGCGGGAAAAATTCGATGATCCAAATATCGTCATCGTCATCTTGATCGTCGTCGTCGTCGTCGTTATCCATTGATTCGGTTGTTAACAATTGTTAATCAATAATCAACTGGACGGTATAAACTGTTTTGCTTGGAAACTGGCAAAACCGATGTGTTCCATCAATGCCAAGATCAATCGATATCGAGCTTAATGCTTGAAAATCGATTTGTCGATTGACGGTTTTTTGTTTGGTGCTAGGGTTTAAGTATGATTTTTTCCAATCGATGTGATCCTAGGTCCTTTGATCACAAACCCATCCATGTATATTTTTGATCTTTACCACTTTCTGTCTTTTCTTTTCTTTTTGTTTAGCTTGATTTGATTGATTGTTTATTTTGTTATGACATGGGTTATCTTTTTTTGTTTTGCAAAAAAACAAAAAAAAAATCATCAATTTCCATCCAAATGTCAAAACCATCAAACAACATTTTAAAATTGAATTGAAATTCCTTTCGTTGAATATCTAAATCATAAACATTGATATTGTTTTTCATATATATGAAATTCGTGTGAGAATGTTTATACTTAAAATGTTTGGACACACGATTGACATTCTTTTGGTAACCTTTGATCTTTCAATTCTTTGACATGTGCTTTTGGTTATTGTTTGACAAGTATCATTTTGTATCCAACAACATTTGGTGTTTGTTATTTTATTTTATTTTTTTATTTTTGAGTTTTTTTTGTTTTGACATGGCAATTTATCAACGCTACCCGAATTGCTTTTCTTTCGGCACATCTGGTGTGTTAACAAGTGGTTTTTTTTCTTGTTTGTTTTTCCAATTACCAAATGAAATTAAGAAAATGGAATTTAGCCTTGGAAAAAAAATTCAAAAGAATTCCGAAAAATCATTTTATGACCAAAAGTGATTTGTTTGTTTATGTTATTCTGATGATGATGGCCATATGTGTGTTTTTCGTTTTGGTCATTTCGTATTCCAAAAAAAAATTCCTTCTGAATATCTTTGAATATAAACATTGTCGAAATTTTTTTTTTTGTTTTGTAAAAAATAATTTTTATTTATTATCAAAATTTTCTAGAAAATCATTATTATCAAATTACAATCATTTACATTTAACAAAAATTATAAGTTTTCTTTGTTTGTTTCAAACATTATCATCATTATGATGAATTGATGGTGGTCATCGTATAGTTGATTTGACCAAATTTTTTTTTTTTTTTTTT